CAGTATGGAATCTATTTCACCTTTAATGGCATCTTTCCATTGAGGTCCTTCCAAGGAATTCACAACTTCTTGATAGTTTTGAGGTTCGCTTTTTAGCATATAAGTCAGAAAATTAGGACCCTAAGACTTTTTTGTCCTTTCCCGTTTGCTGCATCTAACCTCAGTCTCCTCTTCTAATTCTTTGTCCTGACTATTTTCAGTCGTTGTCTCATATGCTCGTTTCTAGGAGTTGGCTTTCTCTTTGGACTTGTATGGAAATGCTTCTTCAAAGAATGAAGCATTCCTCGATTCCATTATCATGTTCTTGTGTATGTCTGGAATTTTTGAATCATACACAAGAAATCGATAAGCACTGCTATTACGTGCATAGCCAATGAAGACGCAGTCTATAGTTTTCGGGCCTATTCTTACCTTCTTTGGTGTTGGAACAGCCACTTTTGCAAGACACCCCTACACTCGCAAGTGTTTATAGGTAAGTATGTTGCAAATTAAATAAATGAATCTGTAAAATTGAAAACTAAATGAATAGCAGATATAATTTCAACCCGAGGCCTGTGTAAACACAGTTTCCTTAAGACAAATTCGCCCTCTCACCATGGTGCTAGAGGTTTAGTTCGAGCGTCTGTCTCCCAAGATACAACGTTAACCAGCAGAATTCGAGCACCGCGATTCTACTCCGGCGAACTGAGCGAGTGTTCGAACAATATCTCCTTACTGGAATGAGACGGAACAAAACAGAAAATAGAAAGAAAATTGCAGACGAAAATTTTCAGTGTATGAACTGCTGGAAAAGAAGTGAATTATATAGACTGAATCTAACCATTAGTTTTTTTGCATTAACCATTGCAGTTTTTGGAGCTACACTTCGGTTTCAACCATTGGAGTTTTAGGAGTTTCAGACACTCAAAAGTCATGTGGAAAAATCACAAAAAAAAAAAATTTGCAAAACACGGACAATCCAAACTAGCCAGTTTTTGCTCCGTTCGGTCCGACATTTATATGCACAGGTCGTACCCGCGTTCAAGTTCAAGGTCCGAAGGCTATTTCTGTCCGTGATTTGCACCCCTTACGTGCGCACGTGGAGAGAGCCTCTATGCTACACATAATCACACTATTCCAATGCATAGCCATATATAAAGTGATTTTGGTTTCCATGTTTTTCCTATGTGGGACAAAGTTTTCCGACCATCATAGACCATTTCCAATGGTCCACTTTAGACTCCAATTTCTCATTCACCCGAGCTTCATTTTTTCGCAAATAAATATATGACTTCGATGTTCTCGCGGAGGAGAACACATATCAACTTTGATATTCCAAATTGGACCAACGGATTCCACCGAAAATTGTGCCAAAAGTGAGCCAATTCACTCATTTTTCCAACAATTCTTAACCTAGTTCTCAATTAATTTCTCAACAGCTTGCAGTCGTGTTGAAGGAGGTTCTAATTGTTCTAATTTCATCTATTTTAATTCAGGTTTGAATTAATTTTTTGTAATTTGAGTTTGTGTGAAACTTTATTTTCAAAATGACTTAGCTAATTGTAACCTAAATTCTATGATGTCCTAATATAAACGTTTTTCACTTCATTTTTATTGTGTTTTAACAGATTATAAATTAATAGTGTTGGTATATATTATCATGGATAAACATTGGGTACACTTATCAAGGTTATATTGTCCTCTTAAAATTAGAGTATTTTAAAATATATCCATAAATACTTTTTAGATGATTTATTTAGCATATTTTGTTTAGAGTTTCAGAAGCATATCAATATGGTGCAAGAAAATTTGCAAATATGGTTCAAGCCAATGCGGGGAATCCAGAAAAGGTAAAATGCCCTAGCAAATGTTGCCAAAACCTATTTCACCAATATTTTGATATAATGTTCGAGCATTTGATGATTAATGGCACGGATCTACTGTTTTTGCACTTATGTAATTCACAAACATGACTAAATTACGAGCAAAGTGTTTGAATTATGGCTTAATTTCGTTTGATTTGTATATTGTAGGCTATATTGATGGACATGTTGGAATCCACGAGAAATGATTCAAAAAAGAGCTAAAACGAAGCAAAGTGAAAGTTTAGGGACCAAAGCACAAATACCTAAAAGATGAACCGAAGGGGGAGTCGAGCAATAGATTGAGCTAAGTACCAATCGGAGGGCATAATAGAGCGACGAAATGACAAGAAACAAGAAATTAAGACAAAAATGAAGAAGATAAAGATTGAGGACCAAAATGGAATGACAAGTATCAATTCTTGCCAATTTTTTCCATGCGGTTGCATGACCCATGGCAAGGAAAAAATTGGCAAGAATTGATAATACTATGCGGTAGCATAGCTTGGTGCTGTGCAGTCGCATAGTTATTTTCTGGGGACCGTTTCTGCAGTTTCCTATTTTCGATCAACTCTTTTGGAACTCGATTGGGATGAGATATAAAAACCTAGAGTCATCATATTTCGAGGAGGAATGCATTGGGAAGCAAGAAAACACATCTTGGAGAAGATTTTGAGCGAGACTAAATAGGATTTAATGAAGATCATCGAGATTTCACGCTAATTCATAACTCGTGATATTGTATCTTCAAGCCAATATGTATTCTTTTATTTTCTCCATGTTAGGTTAAATATTTCTGTACTAGGAGATGATGAACCTTGTGATGTGATATCTAACTCTTTGTTTAATGATTTTGACATTATAATACGTTTGGATTATTTGGAATGATTTATATGCACTTATTTTCTTCACAATTATTGTGCACATAATTTGTGTGAGTTTGGTGACTTATTCTTGCGTTTGAGAGAAGTGGAATAAGTTCAAAGGGTATATATCATCGTAGGGTCCGATAAGTGATAGAGATATACCGCTATACCATATGTAAAAATTTAAGTGCTTACAAATCTACATGCATTTTATAATACATATACATCCGTCATAGAGATATAAATTTTCATCATGTTGTTAGATTGTGAAATTAGGGTTAAATTGAACATTTCTGGGGAATTCATGAACCTAGTGCGTTTAATTCTCATTCAATACAATCAAATTGCCTTCCAACCATCACATTACATTCTAATTCATTTGAAAATATCGTTGGCATATTTAGTTCAATCAATCATATACAATTACATAAACTAAGGTTCTCTACATTAGAGTTTTCTTGAAATCAGGGCTTTCTTAGGTAAAAAAAAAAAATTCATTCTTGATAATTTAGTTTCGGTTAAGGATAAGATAGAAAAAATTAAGCTGCTCAATCTCTGTTGGACGACATTCGGATTCAATTTTCCACTTTATTACTTTTTGTGAACCGTACAATTGTGGTGTGTTAAATCAAAAGAATATTTTCGTGAACAAATTTTTGTTGTCGTTGTCGGGGATTGAACATTCGTTTAATTTTATTTACATTGTCACTAACTTGAACGTTAATATTTGTAGTTTTATTTATTTATTTATTTTTATTTTCATTCTGTTTTGTTATTTGCTTAGTTATAGTATATAAGTGCTCCAACTAATTTTTCTTGTAGATTTGCATGTTAAGATCTACTGAAGGAGACTTGAATCCAGTCAGTCCAGAAATAGAATGAACTTTACATCGAATGCAGTGAGAAAATAGAGAAGCACAACAACAAATGGCTAATGTACAGAACAATCCCATTTTCAAGCCAATGAAGGAGGGGCAGCGAATGAAGACAATATGCTTGTAGGAGATTTCATGACCCCTTAGATAATTCAGAGCCATTCGAGTATCGTGTATCCACCGTTTGGGTAACCTAACTTCCAATTGAAGACAACATGATACAACTGTTTAAAAATGGACGTCAATTCTATGGCAGAACTGAAGAGAATCTACATATGCACTTTTATCACTTTTTGGAGATGTACCAACACTTCATATATAAAGGAATATCAAAGGATGCTATTAGATTGAGGTTGTTCCCATATACACTGTGCGACAAGGCAATAGAATGGCTAGATTCGCAACCAATCGCTAGTATCACTACCTGGAATGATCTAGCACAGAATTTTTGCACCAAGTTCTTTCCGCCCGTCAAGATTACAAAGCTCAAGCATGACACATCTTTTTTCTGTCAAGGTGACTCAGAGAACTTTGATGAAGCTTGGAATAGGTTTAAAAATATGCCATGGAAGTGCCCATATCATGGAATTAGCAAGGGACTCTAGATCCAATACTTCAACGCAAGATTACTTCCAGCCTTCAAGAGCATAGTTTACTCCTCATCTAATGGATCTCTATCCACAAAGACAATTGATAAAGTACTGAAACTATTCGAGACGATGGCTACTACATCAGCTATGTGGACAATAAAACAAGTAGTTCAGAAGAGGACACCAAGAGTTTATGAAGTGGACTCTTATTCTGCCTTTCTATAAAAATTGACTCATTATTTCACAAGGTGGAAAACATGCCACAATCAGCTAACACAGCACAGACGAAGAAGGCCAGTTGTGAGGAATGTGGAGCCAAACATATAACAACGAAGTGTCCAATCTTGGTACAAGAAATAGAGCACGCAGATTTTGCTAAACTGGGACAACGTTAACAGAAGTATTCATTTGGGAAAACATACAATCCGAGTTGGAAAAAGTACCCTAATTTCTCCTGGAGCAACCAAAATCAGAATAGGTCATAGGTCAACATTAGCAGCAGAAGAAAAAGCCTCAATTGGAAGAGATGTTCGATAAATTCATATAAAAGATCAATTAGTACATGGAAGCTAATAATCAATTCATGAGAAAAGTCGAAGCCACTCTTCACATCAGAATGCAACTATCAAAAATTTAGAAACTCAAATGAGACAAATAGCAATCACTTTGACTAGAAAAGCACCAGATAGTTTGCTAAGTAACATGAAAATAAACCCTAAAGAACATGCTAAGGCAATTACAACTCGAAGTGGAAGGTAGCTACCTAAGATACATGTCAAAAGGCCAAGTGTAATTTGAGAAACAACATCTCCTGCGGTGGAAGAGGCTATGGAGCATAATGAGCAGATAAAGAAATCCAAGCCAGCGGAAGGACAAGGCAAATCACAGGATAAAGAAACAGCAACCGTCAACCCTCATGAGCCTCTCATAACTTTTCCACAAAGGCTAAAGAAGCAGAAGTTGGAACAACAATATAAAAAGTTTCTAGAAGTTTTCAAAAAGCTTCACATAAGGATCCCATTCGCCGAAGCATTAGTACAGATGCCTAATTATGCAAAATTCCTAAAAGACATCCTATCAAATAAACGCAAGCTAGAGAAACATGAGACGATCATGCTAACTGAGAAATGCATCGCCAGAATTCAGAAGAAGCTCCAACTGAAATTGAAAGATTCAGGGAGTTTTACTGTTCCTTGCACTATTGGTGAAGTTTACTTTGATAAAGCTTTATGTGATCTTGGTGCAAATATTAATTTGATGCCTCTATCTATTTTCAGGAAACTTAGATTGGGAGAGGCAAAAGCTACAACAGTGATATTGCAATTGGCTGATAGATCACTGACACATCCAAGAGGAATAATAAAGGACGTGCTCATCAAAGTAGAAAAATTTATATTCCTTGTGAATTTCCTCATTATGGATATGGAAGAAGACAAAAACATCCCATTAATACTTGACAGATCGTTCTTCGCAACAGGGAGAGCTTTAATTGATATTCAGAATGGAAAGTTAATTTCGAGATTGGGAGAAGAGTAGATTTTGTTTAATGTCTTCAAGGCGATGAAACTATCTACAGAGTCAGATAGCTGATTCCAGATCGACGTGATTGACAAGGTGGTTCAAGACTCATTTTTGCTACGTTATCTATCATATGCTTATAAAGCTTACATTGCACACTCTCAGTCCACGCATTCCGATTCAGTGGAGATGGAAACATGTGCAAGATTTTTGGATACCAACCCACCTTATACACGCAAAAGGCATTTTGAGGAGTTTGGGATAGGACCCATGGAGCCACTACCATCCATTCAGCAGCCACCGAAATTAGAACTCAAGCAACTGTCGCCACATCTCCAATTGCGTACTTGGGGAGTCTTGTACACTCCCCATTATCATCTCATACACAGTCAGCGCAGTGGAAGAAGAGAAACTCCTTAGGGTACTCAAGGAAAATAAAACAGTAATTGGATGGACTAGAGCAGATATCAAAGGGATCAACCCTTCACTATGTATGCATACGATTCTCATAGAGGAGAATTTTCGGCCAACCATAGAGAGTCAAAGGAGGTTGAACCCAAATATGAAGGAAGTGGTCAGAGCAGAGGTACTCAAGCTTCTAAATGCAGGAATCATATATCCAATATCAGATAGTGTATGTACCAACCCAGTTCATGTGGTGCCAAAGAAAGGTGGAATCACAGTAGTGTCGAATGAGAAAAATGAGCTAATTCTAACCAAAATAGTAACGGGATGGAGGGTTTGCATCGATTACCATAAACTCAATGCAGCTATAAGGAAAGATTATTTTTTCCTTCCGTTTATTGATTAGATGTTGGAGAGACTGGTTTGCCACTCACATTACTGATTCTTCGATGGGTATTCAGGTTATAATTAGATATCAGTAGCATAGATGATCAACAGAAAACAACTTAGACTTGCCTCTATGGTACCTTTGCATACCGTAGGATACCCTTCAACCTTTGTAATGTCCCTACCACATTTTAAAGATGCATGATCGCAATTTTCTCAGACATGGTAGAGAAGTTCATAGAGATATTGATGGATGATTTCTCGATCTTTGGGTCTTCTTTTGACGAGTATTTGGATTTGGTCTTACAAAGATGCAAGGAAACTAATTTTGTAATGAATTGAGAGAAATACCACTTCATAGTACAGGAGGGGATTGTGTTAGGATATTGAGTATCAACAAAGGAAATCAAAATGGAGAAAGCAAAGATTCAGATCGTTGAAAAGCTACCGCTACCTACATCAGTTAAGGATGTTCGCAGTTGTCTGGGACATGCTAGATTTTACAAAAGATTCATCAAGGACTTTTCGAAAATCGTCAAGCTACTATACAAACTATAGATAAAAGACGTGCCGTTTGAGTTTAATGAGGAATGCCCGATAGCTTTCAACACTTTGAAGGAGGAACCTACGTCAGCACCCATAATTGTAGCACCAAATTGGGAATTGCCTTTTGAGCTAATGTGTGACACTAGTGATCATGTCGTGAGTGTAGTATTAGGAAAGCGAAGAAATAAGATTTTTCATGTGATTTACTATGCAAGCAAAATGCCGAATGATGCCCAAATCAACTATGCGACCACTGAGAAGGAGTTATTGTCTGTGGCTTATGTATTTGACAAATTCAAATCATATGTCATGGATCTAAGGCCATAGTCTACACAGATCACGCTGCACTGAATTATCTGATGACAAAGAAGGATGCTAAGCCAAGATTGATCCATTTGGGCATTATAGTTGCAATAAGTTGATATCGAAATTCAAGATAAAAAGGGCAGTGAAAATGTGGTAGCTGATCACCTATCGTAATTAGAGATTGAAGAACCAAAAGAATCAATGAATATCAATGAGATTTTCCAGATGAGCAGATGTTCAGTGTAGAAAAAGCAGTGGTATGCAGATATTGTTAACTATTTGGCTAAGTCCATCCCACCACCAAATTACTCAAGTCACCTGAGGAAAAGTTCTTTGCCTAACTGAAGTACTATTTTTGTGAAGATCATATTCTCTATAGGCGAGGGGCTGATTGGATTGTAAGGAGATGTATACTTGAAGAAGAGGTACTTGAGATTATTGAGCACTACCATTCATCTGCTTATGCGAAACACTTTGGAGTTTCAAAGACTGCTGCAAAGATTTTACAGTTAAGGTTTTACTGGCCTATGTTGTTCAGAGGCACCTTTGAGTTTGTCAAGAGATGTTATAGATGTCAACGCAAAGTTGAGATATTTGACGTTTGGGGAATGGACTTTATGGGGTCTTTTCCCCCATTGTTCTCAAATCAGTATATCCCAATGGCCGTTGATTATGTATCCAAGTGGGTGGAAGCAGTTGCATTGCCAACCAACAATGCAAAAGTGGTAATTGGGTTTTTGAAAAAATACATTTTCACCCGACATGGCATCTCACCGGCGATAATCAGTGATGGGGCAACCACTTTTGTAATTGCCAATTTGAACATTTGTTGTGTAAATATGGCATTAAACACCGTGTAACTACCCCATATCATCCACAAACCAGCAAGCAAGTAGAAGTTTCTAATCAGAAATTCAAGAGCATATTTGAGGTTGCAGTGAATTCATCCCGAAAAGACTAGTCTAAAAAGCTGGACGACACATTGTGGGTATATAGAACAGCATTCAAGACATCGATAAGCATGTCTCCATACTGCCTAGTTTTTAGAAAAGTATGCCACTTCCCATTAGAGATAGAACACCACGTATATTGAGCTATGAAACAGTTAAACATTGATTTAAAGGCAGCCGGTGAAAAGCGTTTACTGCATCTTAATGAGTTAGATGAATTCAGGACAGAAGTATATGAAAACTCAACGCTCTACAAAGAACACACCAAAAAGTGGCATGAACTACACACTCAGAGGTGAGAGTTTGAGATGGGGCATAAAGTTCTATTATATAACTCGAGACTCAAGCTCTTCCCAGGAAAATTAAGATTAGGGTGGTCGTGTCTTTACACTATCACAAGGGTCCTGCCATATAGGACTATAGAAGTCAGCCTGAAGCTAAGAGTACCTTCACAGTTAATGGGCATGGGTAAAACACTACTGGGACGGTAACTTCTCGAAGTAAAAGTCTACCATTCAACTCGGGACACCAAATTGAAGCAGATGTGGGAAAGTGAAGCTATCAGTTATAAACTAGCTTTGGATGGGAGGCAACCCATTGTATCCTTTTGATTTATTTATTTATTTATTTTGCTTTAGTTAAGGAATTTCTTAATTTTGACGTTCACATTTCTGATAGTAGGTTATCAATCATCTATGCACGTCAAAGTAGTCTAAGCACTATCCACACAAAAGCCCGATGCATCGAGCATGAGTTAGTATTGATTGGAGTTGTTTTGGGTTATTGGGTATGAAATTCATACATTTCGAGGTACAAAGTTGTTTTTCAAAAAAATTTTGGGGTTATGGTGTGATTTCAAATCAAAAGTTGGTTTTGGCACTAAGTCTATCGCCGGCGCATGCCCCATGTTGGTTAAATATTTATTAAATTTTTTGGGTATGTAAGAAGCCAGGTCAAATCTTTAATCTGAAAACCACGCTTTCGGACAAATTTGATCAAGTCGTGTTTGTGAAATCAATTTCATGTGCATACTCATTTATTAAAACCATTTGCATGCTAAAAAAATAAATTTGGTATTGCCATGTGGTCTATACGACCTCATAGATCCCGTGGTGATGATGTCGCATGCAGTGGTTCAGGGCCTAAATTGGCCTTGACCAATTACTCTATGCGATCGCACACCATTATTCTATGTGATCGCATAGAGTAACAAAAAAAGGATTTAGTTTTTATAAGACACTCACATACCAAAATACATGACCTCACACCAAAAACACACGTACACTCAATACACGGCACAAACTCACACACTGCATACACACACGACCCAATCAAGGCATAATAAATGGCTTCAACTCCTCAAGAATCATCCGGTTTGACATTGATTGCATATCATTACACTCCATCATTTGGTTGCATGGTAAGGCTTCTTATCTCTAATTTATCAATAGCCAGAATTTGGGTAATCTTGTTTTCTTAGGTTGTTTGATGGATAACTGGCGTTGTATGTCGTCATGTCTTGGCTTGTGAATGGATTTTGGATAATGGGGTTGAAATTAGCACTTATGTTTTACCAAAAGTTAGAGAAAACTACGCATGCTCACTATGTGTTTGATGAATTGCCTAAGTGAAATGTTATATGCATTTTTATGAATTTTGCACTTTAGATAACTGATATTGAAACTGAATTGCGCGATGTGATAAATGCCTATGGAAATTGAGTGGAAACACTTATCACCCAAATTGAACATATCTAGGCACAAGAACGGCTAAGTTATGGCACTTCACGTTGCCTACTTTGCTCCGCAATTTGATAACCCAAACGATGTCTAAATGATCTAAAATTTGAATATGTACTAGGCTAATATGAAAGCTTCCATATGCCTAGAGGTTGCTTGGGAAATTTTCAAAATTTCTCGATGATGCCAAGGGTGAAAATCCTCAGTTGGTCATGGATGTAATTGAACAAAAGAGCACGTTTGGGCCTAGTTTTGTTCATTTTTCTTATTTTTACAATATCAATACTATCTTGAACCTAATTTCATGAATATTGCACACCAACATGTTATGCATGCATTTTGAAGCAAGTTAGGAGGAGGGTTTTCTGCTTCGTGTTTGTTATTTCATGCTTTCTTGATAATCTATTATATTTCATAGTCTAAATTGAAATTGGTATGCTTTTACAGGATGTTGCCAAAAAGAACTTTGAAAGGAAAGGAAAGAGTCGGACCATCATTTGGGACAGTACGTACTAGAGAGCTTGAAAGGGCATACAAAGATTTCTGAATCTCGAGACAGTAGCTCAGTATTCCAACGTCATAAATCGGTGGGTAGTCATCCCAGAGCGGCCGGTAAAATTGGATGATATTTCTGGCTTTGAATTGGTCACTTTGGTCGAGCGTTGTGGATGGGAGAAAATAGTGGAGTACCACACCCTGTATATGAAAGCTTAGTTGGAGAGTTATGCAAATTTCAATGCTAAGATTGACACACCGAGCTCCGATCATTTACACCAGACATGGGTTAGGGGATAATGGATCATGTTTTCACCAGAAGTTATACATGACTATTATCAGCTCTCTTGGAACAACATATCTCCCATCCCGGGCGAGTTTAATCAGAATGAAGTGGTAGAGATCCTATTGGAGAGATAGAATGTTTGTCCCTCCTAGAATGTCTGTCCCTCCCAACCACTGAATGGCACCAAATTGAATTAACACCATCCATAGCCATATTGTGGCTGTTTATGTGCCATAATATTAAGTCGACCTTGCATAGAACCACATTTACAGATCCCACGATCGGGTTTATATATCACCTGGTTCGGGGAAACAAGATTGATCTCGCCACACTCTGTTATGATCAGATACATAATTTGGGTACCGGGGAGACTTGGATAGTTCGATCTTTCCTAGCCTCGTTAGTGGCATATGTAAGGCTAGGAATGTCACTATCTCACTAGGGGAGGCGTTCGCTAAACCTAGCCCCCTATAAGACACACTACATTTGAAGCTCATGACAGAGCCAAAGTAAGGCACCGGGAGAAAGTGAAAAATGAGTGGTGCAGGCAGCAACAGGGCATGGTAGGACAAGCAGCTGAATACATAGAGATGCCACAAGCCCCTCCACCTCCGGTTGACGTGGACACACAGCTATTAAGATAGATCTTCGCTACCACGACAAGCTCCAACAGAGATATCCTGAACCTTCAGTAGGC